TAAGAGTTGCTTAAAGAAAAATATTTAATATAATTGTTCTTATCAGAGATTATAATCATGAACATCTTAGTAGATGGTTCTTTGATCAGAAAACAGTGACAATTAAGTTCTCATAGCTCAAAAATTATAATCAATACCAGAACTAAACATGACACATGGTAAAATGTAACTTCAATTATCTTATTTGCATCATATACACACAGAAGAGCAAAACCAAAAGCAAACACACACACACACACACACACACACACACACACACAGACACTAACCCATGGTTTGGCGCAATTCCATTTTCTATTGTTAAACAATCATGCTCTTTCTTTTCTTTATCATCATCTAGAGACTCCTCAGATCTAGAAAACAGAAAATCAAAGTTGATCATACAGGATCTTATTTTTTCAAACATGGCATTATAAAAAGTTTCATAATAAAAGATTTCAAGCATTTCTCAAGCAAAGACCAATGAACATACGGGGAAGTAACAGAGAGCTTTCATGGAATACTTCTTTTTTGGACACTATACTAAACAATTTACAACAAACCTATGAAGACGGTATAATTCTTATTAACCAAAAAGAAATTAAATATTTACCTGGAGAGTCTGTTAAAATGCAGACTGCTAGGGCCTTTCTTACCCTTAGTTCCAAGTTTCTGATTCACTAAGCTGGGGGCTCCAAAATTTGTATTTCACACAAGATGTAGATGGTCCTGGACCATAGTTAGCACATTTGTGAATGTAATACAATTAACAGAGTCACAGCTAGACAGCTGGCCCTGAAATATCAATCTTTGATTTCACTGGACATGACTAAATAGGACAACTTGCTATGTTTAATAAATTCTAGCCACCTTCCCTCCACTTGAATGTAAAGGGAGTCAAGTGAAAAGATGAATGCTTTTCACCCAACTGCCTTCACATTAAATTCTAATAAGCCTAGGAACCCTGATGGCATAAGAGTTAATTAAGCACTAGACTGCTAAAGTTGGCAGCTTGAACCCTTCAGGGTTCAATGTGACAAATGACCTGGTGATCTACATCCTTAAGGATTACAGCCACAAAAACCCTGACAGTGGTTCTCAATCTTCCTAATGTCGCGACCCTTTCAAACAGTTCATGATGTGGTGACCCCCGACCATAAAATTATTTTCGTTGCTACTTCCTAACTGTAATTTTGCTACTGTTATGAATCAGTCGACCTCTGTGAAAGGGTCGTTCGACCCCCAAAGGAGCTGCGACCCACAGGTTGAGAACTGCTGCCCTATGAGATAGTTCTATTTTGTCATATAGGGTCACTACAAGTCATATTTGATTTCAGAACCCAACAATACAGTAATAACAACCCTAAACTAGCACTTAGGTTCCTGAGTGGATTCTGATTCATAGTGACTCTATAGTATAGGTAAGGGTTAAACTGCCCCTGCAGTTTAAGACTGAGACTGTAACCATTTACAAGAGTAGACTGCCTCATCTTTCTCCTGTGGAGCTGCTAGTGGATTAAAACTGATGACCCTGCTGTTAACAACCCAACAGTACCCACTATACCACCAGGGCTCCTATTAGGAATCCCTGGGTAGCACAAATGGTTGAGTACTTGATTACAGGCTGGAAAGGTTTACAGTTCCAGCACACCCAGAGGTGCCTAGGCTTCTGAAAGGTCAGTCTTGAACACCCAATGAAGCAGTCTACTCTGCACATGGGGTCACATGTCAAAAGCACCCTGAAAACAATATCAAAGGCATCTTTTAAAATACATTAGATTAAAAGAAACTTGTATCATTTACTGTTTCAAATTCTTTACTTTTTAATATAAAAATGATCCAGTAACAATATAACTGATACGTTAAAATGTTAGGAAAATCTATCTATATACCTTTTCTTTTTTTCCGTGTTTGATGGCGATAGAGAGTGAACTTGATCTTGCTCTTTCGCAAATTCAACAACTAAAGTATGACCTAAAAGTTTCAGTTGATGGAGTCTTGTCAGTGCCTTCAAAAAGAAAAATGAGAGAATAAAAAAGATGAGGGTTTGATGATGCGATAAAAATCACTTGTTACGAGACCATATGCTAAATAGTTGATACATTTGGTTGTTGACAGTCTTCTTTGGCTACTTATTTACCTAAACTTCTAGAGAGGTAATTTTTTAATTTTGCATTAAACGATTGATTTCTAACACTCAGAAAAACTAACACCTACCTAAATTTTCTAATCCATCAGTCACACAACCGAAAATAGTAATAAAACTCTCTAGTCCCCGAAGAAAACTGATGGTGCTCGCCTATCAAAAGATATAGCATGTGGGGTCTTAAAGGCTTGAAGGTAAACAAGCTGCCATCTAGCTCAGAAGCAACAAAGCCCACATGGAAGAAGCATACCAGCCTGTGGGATCATGAGGTATTGAAGGGATGAGGTATCAGGCATCATCAGAACAAAAATATCTTATCATAATGAATGAGAGGGGGAGTGCGGAGTGGAGACCCAAAGCCCATTTGTAGGCCACTGGACAACCCCTTAAAGAAGGGTCTGGGGGGATGGGGGGGAACTAGCAAGTCAGGGTGCGATGTAGCATATGCTTCTTCCTCCCCCACTATCATGATCCCAACTCTACCCTACAAATCTGGCTAGACCAGAGGATGTACACTGGTACAGATAGGAACTGGAAACACAGGGAATTCAGGGTGGATGATCCCCCCCCTTC